GGTCTGCTTTGGTCCTATGTATAGATATTTTGAAAACAAAGTTGGCTTATCTGTTTTATGGGGTGCGGGGTTACGGTTCGAGCTTCTGGCATTCATCCCGGATTTCAGGTTCAAGACGGCCCCTAGAATCTAGATGTTCCTTTCACTATGTCCTTGAGATTTTCACTCAGGAGTAAGGGGGTTCCTGGACGTGTTACTGTACAGTCCTCTTCCCCCCAAGCCAAAAAAAGGCGCCGTTACGCCTTGCCTAACATGATACCCAGTGTAAAGACTTAGCATTATTATTACTACGTGACATAGCATGGGAGTAAAGCTCCTTGGTACATAGTCCGTCTCTTATACACATCTAGATGTGTATAAGAGACAGTATATATATTGTCCAGATTGATAACGAATTGGGTTGCAAGTCGATAATTTTGAATATTGTTGTATGTACTAGTACCTTTTCCTCAAGATCAGAATAGTAGCCATTTGAGTTTCGATTGAGTGTCGACAAGTTTAAGAGGGCGCTATCTATCGGATTAGGCTGCATCGATGAGGGCGCCAACGAGCTCACGTATCTTGCTGTCATCGCTGAGGCCATATGGCTCTTCTTCGATTCCGATAATTATTTTATTCTCTGTTTTACAATCTAGAATTAGAAAAAAAAATAGTATTAATTTCATATAATTATTATTGCTCTGTCATCATTTTTCTATCAGAATAGATATAGATTATGCTTTTTTTCGTATATATGAATAGTGCCTTCCGTATACGCAGGAATTTTAAGGGGGATTCTTTATTATTTTAACAAAAGGCAGCTCCACCATGGCTTGGGTAAATTTTAAAGATATTTAACACCTCTGATGTCCGGAAATGGCAATAAAGATGCCAAATTTCAAATATTTGGAGCTACTTTCAACAACTTCCATGCAAATGCAGTACGTAATAATAATTTAAAAGGGCATTCTTGAAAAGAAGATTTTTTCGAACCCCCAAACCGACGGCTACGGGCTCGTAAAATAGGTAGATTTATGCAATGAACAGTATCCCCCATCCTTGGCGCCGCACTGTTTTTATACCTCTAAACATTGTTTATAGGTCTATAAACCATCATGCCAAAAAAGCTAAATTGTTAGGCCTATTGACAATCCTGTTACAGGTCATAGTTCAAGACTCAAGTTCGAAACGTGAGCAAAGAAGAGTTATCATATATGAATCCAGCAGTACATATTGTTTAATATTTATAATTATTACCGTAGTAATTATTCCTTTTGTATTTTGTATAGGTCTAATACCTCAGTATTTTTAATAACTTTGACTGCATATTTTGTATTTTTTGGTTGATCACGTAGGCCTAGCTTACTTCAACTTAGTACAAGCAATTGTAAAAATACATGATCAATATGCACTTGAAACGTACACTAACCTTAGGATATGGTTTCGCCATTGATCACTTCCCTTCCCGGGGCACGACGCGCTCTCAGTCTGTAGTGCCTCCTATGGGCTCTAGCCGGAGGTCTCCTACCCATCCGGACGCTAATGGCAGACCTGTCTCACGCATTTAACTTCGACCTCGAGAACTAATATAAATGGAATATCGAAGTAGCACTTTGTATCGATGAATTTAAAGTAAAGGTGTATGGTACATCGACGCTCACTGTATTTTCCTTAAAGTGTGTGACCTCACGCATAATTTTCAAAAAATGCCCAATCTCAAAAAAATCCAGAAGAAATCTCAAGCAAGCTAGTGTGAGACCCTTGATAGGTCTGCTTTGGTCCTATGTATAGATATTTTGAAAACAAAGTTGGCTTATCTGTTTTATGGGGTGCGGGGTTACGGTTCGAGCTTCTGGCATTCATCCCGGATTTCAGGTTCAAGACGGCCCCTAGAATCTAGATGTTCCTTTCACTATGTCCTTGAGATTTTCACTCAGGAGTAAGGGGGTTCCTGGACGTGTTACTGTACAGTCCTCTTCCCCCCAAGCCAAAAAAAGGCGCCGTTACGCCTTGCCTAACATGATACCCAGTGTAAAGACTTAGCATTATTATTACTACGTGACATAGCATGGGAGTAAAGCTCCTTGGTACATAGTAGGCCTAGCCTATATATCCGTGTCAGGATAAAATATCATATAGGCCTATATTATTATTTAAAACTTCGTCTATTAGGATTCACAATTCATCGCCTGGGTTATGTTTGACAATCCTGAGTTATGTCAATGTAATGGGATTACCGAATTAACATGTCATATATTTGGATTAAATATAGGCCCTATGCGTTATTGACGGCAATCACCTATCCATGCCTACAAATTATATTATTAGCTTTAAAAACTTACCCAAACTGTGAACTTTCAAACCTTGGGGTGGAAATTGCAGTGTACGACAGGTTGAATACCATTTACAGGATTTGCCACACCTTTTTAAGTAGTGCTAGTGTCCCCGACAGCCAAATAGTATTCTAGAAATGGCCCAAAAGTGTTCTAAACATTTTGTCAGATCGTTCAAAATGTAACCAGTGAAGCGCATACCAGCCGTTCAATAGAGTGTTCTCTCTCTGCTATTTAGGCATTTCTATTTAAATTAAAGTGCTTTTGTGTGTAGCGCCCACGACTTTGAAACCAAGGAGATCAAAGAGTCTTTGTTTGAATTGATTGCCAATTGTTCTGGGTTAGCATACAAGGCGATCACATGTTGGGCTGTCCTTGTTGTAATGTATGTTTAACACGGGAAATATTATGTGATAATTTGTTTATAGTTTATGAAGAACTTTTCTTTGAATTTTATGCGTGCGCCGGACGTTTGTACACGATTGCAGTTCGAGCCTGAAGAGCTCAGAGTTCGAATCCTGCTGCAAAAAAAAATTGCTTTAGTGCACAAAATCTTAAAAGATAACATACAGCAACGCTAAAGTACATAACAAGAGACCATGACGACTGGGCAGTCCGAATAGCTAATAATAATAGGAAGCTTTAAAACAAATAAAGAAAACAGCAAGTAGAATAAATAACACACTGGAAAATTCGAGAATTGCTACCTAAATTTCTGAATAAGATACTCAAAGGCACTCTTGAGTTAGTCTGACAGTAGCAGTGTTATCGCCTTGATTTTCATACTAAAATTGTTAAGAATGGCATTAACCGATTTCCTGTGCAATTGCTATAAGAAATATTCCAGTGGACGGAGACGAGAACTTTCCCAGTTCTGGTTCTGGTGGGTAAAGCCGACCTCCTAACAAAGAGTCCAAAAATGTAGGATTATAACAGGAGGGGCAGAAATATAGTCGATGATAGGAAACCACCACCGCAGTTTAAGACGCCCAGCGCCAGTCATTAGCAGGCTTGCCAGGGGCAGCGCCAGGAATTCCCCAACGACGGGTTCAAGCTCCACGACAAGGGGTCCACATTCCCCACCTCGTAGCATCATCTTTCCCACCCAACCCTCTCCCCGCCCAGGTCGGGAAAAGAATTGTGTTGTGGTATTTTTTTATTTAAAACGTAAAATTTGATAGAAAACCATGCAAGTTAAGAGGCCCCTGTCGGTACTAACCGTTTATCCTGTCTCTTATACACATCTAGATGTGTATAAGAGACAGCCACCCCCGTCAGGGAAGTTCTGGCGCTACTACTGCAACCTATACGATCGCCATAGTAGGCTATACAACACGTCGCACATACGGTAGCACTGATACCACTAAACAGTTTTTAATCCCTAAAATTTGACAGCCAATAGTAAGGCATACCTGAATTTTACTTTCGGCGGTCGAGATTTCATTTTTCCCCGACGACCTTGCTGGAAATTCCCCTGACAGTGGTCCAAGCGGGGATCGAAGTCAGGCTCCGGGGGAAAAATTGATATGTTGTACAACTTATTTTACTAAGACACAAAAAGCATATTTAACGAAAAACTCGGAAGCGGTTAATGAGATACATACAAATTTTTTAATATTTAAAAACTGGGGGAAAGGGGGCATAACCACTCTTTTTCCCACGTTTGTTTGGATTTTTTTTTTCTTTGTAGACAATTGTTTTTATCTTTTTTAAAGATGCATGCACCGCTCCCGCGCACCCCTGTATATTGAAACGTGATTACAGTTACATTCTTGATTTTCAATATTCAACATCATGCAATGATTTGATAAAAATGATACAACAATTTTACCGACACAATGGATGGCAAATGTAAGCCTAAAGAGATGAATACAAATCACAATAAAATAATACATACAGTGACTGATAGAGAAAATTTATTTATTAAAAAAGCAGAGCTAGATAAACGACACTAGTCTATAGGTCCTTTTTCAAAGTTAGGCCTACTGTCTTTTCTCTTTTTTATATTTAAACAAAAACACATTCTCGTTTGTAGGCGTACATATTTTTTATTTTCATTTTAACTAAATAATGTATATAATAAAATTCATATTTGGATACAAGTATTTATCAAACGATGAAACATATTACTTTACCAACCCAAGACTTCGGAAGGTCTTGGGTTCGTATCCCGATGTGGACATACACTTTTCTCAAATATTTACTATCTTTAATCAACACCTGTGGAGGTAATATCTCCATATACCAACGCTACTTTCATGTGATTTACTATACCTTGAGAAAAAACGTGTCATAATAGAAAAACCCAATGGTGTATACCACTTGGCCTCATAGCTCAGTTGGTAGAGTATTCGAACGGTAATCGGAAAGTCTTGGGTTCAAATCCCGATGGGGAAGTACGTAAAAATCTGTCTTTGTGTTGTGTTTTCCATAGAATCGCGTCAACCGACGACCGTCTGGCACAGTTGAGTGCCCAGTTTTAGGCTACATTCTTCAGACTAGGTAGATAATCCCGGCTCAACACGTTGGGTTTATCCACCTGCCAGCCTGCCTTATCTCAAGTCGGGCTGTGTTCCTATAGTATAGGCCTGGCGTGCCACCATATTTTAGGCTACGTTCAGGCTTGGAGATAAGGCAGGCTTATTTTAAGCCCGGCTCAAGGTTAAGATTGGTCATTTTTTTACCTGAGGTCAATGCAAGACATCCCGCAGTGATTAAAGCCTGGCTTAGAAAAGTTAAACAGGCCCAGTTACTTTAGGAACACAGCCTGGCTTCATATAAGCCACCTAGTTCAGACTGGCTGGTGGATAAACCCGGGGAGTTAAGCCGGGTTTATCCACCATAGTCTGAACGTAGCCGAACTTTTCTATGCCGGCTTTAATCGCTGCAGGGGGATCTCGTGTTGATCTCGGGTAAAAAAAATGACCAATCAGCATTCAATTACGTGTGCTGCGAGCGAGCGTACGTTTTGTGCGCAATGTTTTGAAACTCGTTTTCTAGTTACGGCCATTAATATGCAAATTTTCATGCCTGGCTAATCCAGCTTAGTCTAAACCTTGAGCTACGCTTCATGTAAGCCTGGCTTATCTTCAAGTCTGAACATAGCCTGTTTAATTGAAATAATTTTTAAATTTAATTAGTAACTTCTAGGACAAAACAATTAACACATAACAAGCAATGGACATATTTTACATTATTAATGCACCATCCTTTAATGAGGCCTATTTATGCAGAGCATGAAACCATGCAGAAAAAATAAAGTCTATTATATTCATAATGATCCACACAGAATGTGACTACAGGACAAATTCACATGTCACTCACTCAGCATAGAATATTTTCTATAGGGCATATACTGTATATACAAGCTTTCAGCATTATGTGATATGCAAGTGTAACTTTATTATTATTAATATACTTTCTTCTACAAACTCTTTGCTTACCTACCAATGCCGAAATAAATGTTATTTGCCCTCCAATTTAAGTAAGCTGGTTCAGTAACTAACTCATGGTGAATCCTTTACACGGCTCACTTGATTTCGACTTGACTTCATAATGTTGTTACCTTCAAATACTTTAGTTGCCATCTTGCATTTGATCTAAATAATAACCCCACCCATCCCCAACTCTACACACACCCACCAACCTATCAATTGCTATTCCAGTATTATTTAAAACCAATAGCAGTTGAAACATCAACGATGATGTCCTTAATATATTTGGACGCAGGTATACAAAAGTTAATCTATAGATATCAAATTTCAACTTCAAGAAGCAAATTGCTTTTGCATTTTACTTTTAAAAGGTGGTTGTTGCAAAAGAAAGAGTAATTTCCTACATACTGTATGACCAAAGTTAATACAATTCTTCAAAAATTTGTTAGTAATGTAAATGTGTACCTTACATTAAAAAAATGATACTGCAGACAGCAAATCGTTGGTAGTCTGTAGCAGTATTTGTTATTTATTGCTTTAAAGTGTTGGTAACCTGGTGCAACAGTGCCACATATATCTGAATTTTTACAAACATCAAAAATGCAAGCAGTATTTTAAACATTTGATGAGCTTTTGATGGAGGTTTGAGTAAGATACTTCTTGTTCTGTGGATATTTTTTCTTCACTGATTCCAGCTGTTTCTCATTGTTTACAACCCAGACATGGAACGGACTACCAGGTACATGAACATCGGACCACTGGACAGACACTTTGTACTCACCGCTCTGTGTTGGACTATATTTGACATTTATCAGCCGGTCACTATCCACAGAGCGGGATACTTTGACATTGAATGAGCCTGCGAATTTAATAAAATCACATTTATTACTTATAATATGGCTTGATCGCTCCAGTTTGTGGAACCTAATTAAAATTATAAGAACAAAACTGATTGAATTTTGACGTTTAATGATGCTTGCAAACATTAATAAAAAAATGTATTATTACTATTATTATAAGTATATTTATACAAAAATTCATACAAAAGATATTAAAATACAAATCCAGAAACAGAAGCAACTGGCAATAAAAATGAAACTGCTGGCAACTAGAATTAAATTACATTACAATTACAAAGTAAATAAAAAGATAAAAGTATTAGAAATATTTTTTTTTAAAAACATCATTTGCATGACCGCAGGAAAAACACTACAGGTGTTAATTAGAAGAGTTGTCGTGTTAGGCTATGAGATGTTACTATACCTTACATTTTTAACAATTGTACTAGCTCCTTGTATTACTTAGTGATTTGTACTAAAATAAACAGAATTTATTAAATATAAACTATCCCACCAATCTCCTCGACTATCCATTTTAGCCCTAGAGAATAAATGGAACAATTTTGGATATATTCGTTGCACACCAAGGATCCACATCATGAAAAACGGCTTAAACGTCTCATCCGAATGACGGTACGCTATTCAAACTTCGCATTTCAGCCCTCCAGCTGATACGCAAGAAGAGCAGCAACGGGAGGTGAACCAGGAACCAAGAGATATCCACAGTTCAGCACACACACAGTAGCTAACACCACTTTTGCTGACTCAGCTAGCTGCTTACAATCATATTGTTTATGAAACTGGAGATTATCTGTATCGTTCAAATCTTTTTGCCTTTTACACCAATTATATACTTGCCTTTAGGACCATGGACACGGATCTTAAGTTGTCCGGCACCAGCACCAGTTGTATTACAATTGAAGCGGCCATCAAAGTATGAAAATATACCATGAGCTAAACCAGAACCAAAGCAGCGAACTTTGCTTGCATCTGGCGGCTGATTCACATGGAACATAAATGGACTCCCTAAGTTATAATAAAAAAAGCACAAGACAATTTAAAATCTGACCACTTATATCTTGTCATATTTTGTAATGAGGATTCTGAATCAAAGACATAGGCCTTTGGGCTGGAGCATCAAAAGCACATACTGGTACCAACTGCAGTAAGGTTTGGTCCTACAACAATTTAGGAAAATTAAAAATTTGTGATTATGGCACCTCTACATGGCCGGAAATTGCACTCTCACATTTAAAATTTTAATATAATTTTTTTATATCTTCATTTTTTTTATATGTTGAACAATTTAAGGGGACCTGGGCTAGCCTGGCTGGGCCCCCCCCCCCCCCCCCCCCCACACCACCACCATGAATCTGCCACTGTCTCATATTACATAATGGAACATTGGTACTATGTCATACCTTGGATATGATCCTGTCCAAACTTGATTTCCAGAGTATGTTGACCAGCTTCAGACGGATTCATAAGCAGTGAGTAGGTGCCATCTTGGTTATCTCCAATATGCACTTCAGCGTAGGTTGCTGGGCCAACACAGCGGGCAACAAGCTCCCCTAATATTATACATAATTAGACAAAAAGACATTATTATCTATACAGAAATGACAGTGTGAGTACAGGGGTACATTCTGTCTCTCCCCCACTCCAGTTTTGAATGCGACATAACTTGAATCTGTCATTGCAGAAAGTGTTCTTCCGACCAATCAGAAACATGAATGCACATCAACACATTCAGATTGATCTAGGTAGCATACCAGCTATTCTGTAGTGCACTATCGCATCTCAGTGCACTATCGCATCTCAGTGCACTATCGCATCTCAATGCACTATCGCATCTCAATGCACTATTGCATTTGCAAATGAAACAGTATTTGTACTCTTTTGCAGGTCATTGGTCATAGCAAAGAGTATAAATAGAACAAGAGAGCCAACTACGCAATTGAAAGCGTAAAAAATGATAAACCATATGCAGCCAGTGTAGGACACCCCCTACAAATGGATTCTCCAGTAATGCAGCATGCATTGTTTGTTTATATGTATATTTTCCACATGATAAAATACATTCGTAGAGGGCGATATATTTTCTTATTGTTCTAAATTTTCATGGTATCGGAGCAGGCGCACTTTATGCGAACTCACACATAGTGGGCGCACAAAATAGTGACGATGGCAACTTCCATTGTAACTAGGGAAGTGAAGTGATGCTTTCACAGCGTATGTGTCACTCTAGTTGTATGTATACTCGGTGGTCATAGATAATTAGCATGTAATCCTTTGTCATCTCAAATATAAAGCTCATGACATTTTCATAGGATGAATGCATTACTTCTACATTAAATTCCTCAACTCATTAATCTTACCAATGCCTGCCTCTGTAACATCAATCACAAGCCTTGACATATGACCTGCAATCAGTGTTCGCAACATTTCCGTGCCTTTTGTGGTAACCGATTGAGCACGGGCTTTCTCTGCAATTTTCACAGAAAAAGGCGATCCCATAACTTTATCTCCTGACCATGTGACATGCAGCAGGTATGTACCTTGAAAGAAAACAATATATCATCACAATTAGAATGATAGCAATTTTTTGAAATAAAAAGTCACACAGACACGACACGAATTGATCTTTCCATTTTCCTGTTAGGACACAGCGTTCTCACAGAAATTGCATTGTATTGCTGCACTACCAATTTGTATAAAATGCAATGAAATTTTACAGATGATAGTAACTTTTGTATTAGGATAAAAATTGCTAGAAATACTGTAAAGAAACAAATCACAGTCTCAAGCTATGGTGGCCAAGATATTTATGTTTTAACCTCACTCATCACAAGATTGCTCAGAAATTAAAATGTTCTAACATTGGAGAATTTTAGGTGGTATGAATTTTACTATTACTATACCTGCTACTTTTGGTGTATAGACAGCTTTGTACAGACCACCCCCTACAGCCACCACATCCACATTGATGTCTGTACTTGACCCGGTCATCCAGCATTTCAAAATTCCTGGTCCTCCTCCTGATCCATTGATGTGAAACATATTTTCTTCATCCACACGTCCATTGATGATTCCTTTCCCAGTGCAGTGAACCTTACGGGCATCAATGGGATCCTGCGGGAAGCTAGCTGTGGCACTGAATGGAGATCCCGGAATCGGAGAGTTAGCCCACATGACTCGCAGCAGGTAGGTGCCTTCTTTTTCTGCTAAGTATTTGACACGGTAGCGGTCACTTGAGACCATTTCAATTTGGAGTGGCTCTCTATTGCCATTTGGATCATCAATGGATGCAGATAGATGACCTGCAGTGAAACCAATTACTTAAATTATTTAAATATATATTGATATATTATATCAACTTTTTGTTTAAAAATCATAATAGATTTATAATAACTAAATTTCTACAACAGCAGCAAAATTTCCATATGAAAAGATAAGAGAAAAACTCACCACAGATTTAAAAGGCAAATGGGAAAACCCATAAAACAGCAAACGGCCATATAATGCAAAACAATTTAAAATTAAAATTAAAAACGGAACAGTAGAGAAAATCCGATCAGAATGACAAAATAAACTAAACATCCACTGAAAGAAATCCCAATATCTGCAGACGGATCCGTTTCTCATCAGTGCAGGTAGGGTACAGACCCAAACGAAACGTTCGACCAGCTTAGGTAGGGCCCAATCTAGTTCCACGACCTCTAATGATTACAGAGCCAAACCAAGGCAATATATATACACAGCCCAGGTGTGAATGCAAATAGTGGAATACAAGCTC